AATTCAGCGGCCCGATGTGACTTTTCACGTCGATGCGTCCTACATTTATCTTGCGCGAAATTAGCGATTTGTCGTCCGTACTGGCTGTTCTCGCTCGTGCAAAAAAAGGCCCGATAAAGGGCCTCGTAAAATTCCAATAGAATGAAAGTCTAGTAAAATCGAAATTTTTTTTCTAGCAAAAATTCTAGGCCTAATGAAATTCCAGCTATAGCTAGTGAAATATTCCATAAATCGTTTAAAATGATTGATTTTTGATTCTGAATAATAACATCCAAATTACGAATGGCGTAGCATAGACATAGCAATAAATTACGTAGACGTGGGAGTAGCACAGGGAAAAATTCACGGGAACTCGAAATATGGCATTTCCGGAAGATATTACTATGAAAGCAAGATTATACCTCGTCTTCCTCGAATATTTCACGATTCCGGCCCACTTCGCTTGATATATTAATATTAATTTATTAATAAACGTAATTTCATGCGAATAAAAATCACGTTCTAAAGAACCATATGTGTCCGTTGCAATACGCACTGAATAGAATTGCCAGAGAATAAAAAAGAAATTACCAGAAAAATATTAATATTACTAGAACAGTGCTGTGAAGGAATATTTGTAAAACATAAATTCGATCAACGTAAAATATCCTTTAATTAAAGGATCAATTTAATTAAAAGATCGATAATGGCGCATCTCGACAGTGACAATAATTCTGAATTCGATTGCAATTTTATACGCTCCTAGCCAAAGCATTTTCATGCGATAAATAACGTGGCCGATATATTTTCATACATAGTTTATTTAATTCAGTGTTATACGTATATACCTTGGACCGCATTTCCAGGTTACAGGATCGGCAGAAGCGCGTTCAGCCGCGTCGTAATTTTTCTTTCGGGCTTCTCTTGATCCCGGTTAAATGATTGAAAACTGACGATACCGCGCACCAACGTCACTATCTAAAAATATTGCTCGCGTGTCATAAATTTGTCAGATTTGTACGGCAATCAGTTGACAGTGAAAGACTGCGACACAGTATTGGCCGGGGAGGGGGGACACTGTATGCTCAGTTTTTTTAGCTATAAGGATAACCGAGCTGTCATGTGTGAATACATACATACATACATACATACATACATACATGTATGCGATGGAAAACCAGTGACGCGCGAGAGTTATTCAAGGGAGAGAGAAGCAACCACGCGAGCATTCGTTTTATATTTCGGCTACTATTTTATACGAAGCACACAATTATCGCACATTGCCCCAGTTCTTCGCTGCTGTTCCTATAAACAATCCATTGTTCCGCGCATTTAATAACTTCGTTGCTACATCCGGCCCGACGTGTATCGTTTTCGGGGGATGAAATTCTACGATGCTGTCGAACGCGCGTTTTTTAATACCGTAAAATCGCATTAGCATTTTTAATCAATTTTTAATCGCTCGTTGTAACACCGCCGCGCGACGGAAACAGAGAGAGATCTCTTCGCGAACTGTTTCGGGGGATGACTTTTTGTCTTCCCGCGCAGAGAAGAAAAGTTCTCGTGTACATTTTTTTGTTCTCTTCTCCCGTCATTCTCCCGGCGCCGGAATTTCAGCATTTTCAATCTGCCAGTTATCGACGCGTTGCCGGGCGAATCGTCGTTTGTAAATGGATGTTTAAAGCGTCCTCGGCCGATGTCGTTTCCCGCATACCGACCGGCGGCGTCATTGTCGGAATTATAAATTCTTACGGATGCCGATAACGGCACGCCGTTGTGTCAGAATTATTGGCGATATATACCTCTTTTCTTCGGCGTCTGGAAAGAGGATCGCGTTCCACCGGCATTCTTATTCATGGACGAGCTCTCTCTCTACGAGATCGAGCGCGCGAGTTTCATTTAGTCGAATCTCCGCCGCGGATAATTTCCACTAAAAATTCCTTTTGCTCGGATTTCATTCACGCTCCATAAACGCGTGCATCATTTATCCACGGTCGTCGCTGTAATTTTCTAGCGTACTACAATCCGCACGTTGTTTAACGCTGTTCTTTTCTTTCTTTTTTTTATACAATATCGAGTGACATATAATTTGGCGCTTGAAAATGATTCGCACGGTTTCCCGATTTATACAACGCTGTGAATAATTATATAGTCTAATTGTAGAGTCGAAGTAACTTTTACATTTTCAGCGATATTTAATATTAAATTCACGGGCCACCAAAGAACAGCTGTTTTATTATATTTATACATTAAATATATTTATATATTATATTTATATATTATATATATATATATATTATATTTCTATTTATATATATCATATATTTATATTATATATATAATAATATATAAATATATATAAATATACTTAAAATATACTATAATTATATGCCATTATATATTTATATTATATATTTTATATATATTATATAAGTATATTTTTATAAAAGTAACAACGGAAAGGCACTCTCTTAAAGTTCGTCTTTATTTTCGGAAGTAGAGCTAGGAACGACGACGTATACCGAGCTTGGCCTGGAACGACGACGACGGCGCGGGACGGGGGATGATTGACATGTTCGCAGATACCGAAAAATTGCTCCGCGACGACGAACGCATGCGCGACATTCTAAATCAGCTCGATGTTTCGCAAAGCTTCCTGCCACCTTTCGTGACGTACACTGAGATTCCAGCAATCTGCCGAGACTAAATTATCTCGGTGTACGAGAACCGGTTTTATTCTCGTTTAATAAAATTGGCCGCCGCGTCGGTCACACACGGATCAGAATTAGGCCACGGATTTTACGCAGTTGTTGCCGAGATTTGTGGACCAAGTGCGAAACGACGAAACGAAAAGGCGCAGCACAGCGAAATTCGCGGTAGCCCGGAATTCGGCAATTCCGGGAGAAATTGCTGTACAAGCGAAACGGTGCAACTTTTTCGATCATCGACCAAATGCCTCGAATTTTTTCTAGATGACAGAGGGTCCAGTCTACTAGACAATGATTAAAAAATGCTTCGTGTAGAAATGTCAGTAAATAAAAAATACTGTAAATTCTCCATAATTGTCGTTCAGTTTATACGCAAAAATTGACAATTTTGGGCGATTATTCGAGCCTCGCGCCTCGTTATTATAATCATTGACACTCGGCAACAGCAAAAATCGAGCCGCGAATAATCGCGTCTCCTCTTCCAAATTGCTAATTTTCGTTTACAAGCAGAAAGACAATCGGCGAGAATTTACTGTAATAAATTTGCAATGAAAACTGCACAGTTAAAACTGCCCGGCAAGAACAAAGATAATGGCAACTCGGATATACGGGGTCAGAAGTTCACTAATCGCCGACGGAGGGGGGTGGGGGCGGTTATTGGTTCCGCGGATGATAATATTTCGTCCGGTGTATCCTATTTATTGGTGGCGCGAACATCATAGAGTTCGGCCGCGAGCCGTGAGAATTATAAATTCCTCCATACGTCGATAGCGGTTTCGTTTCGTCCGGAATTGCTGGCAGGCTGCCTTCAATGGAGATCTCCTCGGATCTCCTTTATTCATGAATCCATTCATTGTATGGAAATCAACCGGGACGCGATAGCGATTAAACACTCTCAAGAACGCCTCGCCCCGGGAATAGCTTGCTCTGTTTTTCCATTATTGCGAAAGCACTCGGAAGAGGAAGGTTTCTTATCTGTCGATGCCTCGTCGCGCGCGCCGCGACAATTTCTGAAATAAATTTGACGCGTCCGGGCGTCGTCGGGGGGCCGGACGTGCCTCTAAAAGCATGAACGGCTCTCGTAAGTGGGACCGTTCAAATGTAAATGTAAGCGAAGTGCTAATTTTCCGAAGGAGTCGCGCGAGCAATTGCGAGATTTAACAACTCGCCGCCGTACAGAGCGCGCGACGCGAGAAAATAGCTTTGATTAGAAGCGCGCTCGCGCGGGATATGATTCGCGTGAGATTGTCGCGCGAGTTATGCTATCTCGCGTATGCTATTCGCTGCGATCCGACCTCCATGCGAGATAATCGTTCTCTGACCCAAGGTGGACCAGTTGCGCGTGAGCGTTCAATTTTTATCTCAACCCTTTGCGCTCGAAGCTGTTTTAACTGTAAATCTAAATTAATTTTTCTGACTTACGGTACTTCCGTCTCATGCGACAAAGTGCATTGTATGCATACAATAGTTAGACTTCTAACAATTTTTTATATCTGAATATTGATGATATAAAAATTATCTTGGAACGTGATGTAAGAATTTTAGCGGTGCCTCGGAGTCGCCACTCGAGTGCAAAGGGTTAATTATTGCACCGAGCTGGTGATAACTCAAAAGATGACAATTGCATTCTATTTCCTCTGTTATCGAAGCCCTCGAAACGAGTTCGACACCTGTCTATGCAATCGTCGCGAATGTTCATCTTTTTAATCACTTTTCTCCAAAAAATACAGTCTTATAATTACAGTGCCATAATCGGTAAAAAATTTCCTCTCCTTCTTCTCAGCTGTTCGACGTCATTGCCACCCATTGATACGTCACAACATACACTTTCTACACCGAAATTAATTCCGAAATGCGTTAATTAAGAGTTCACAGCGTGCGGGTCAGAAGTGACCCCGAGTCCTCCCGTTTCTCTGCAGCAAAGCGTTCGGTCGTTCATCTGGCAAGAGGATTCTCCGTCTTTTTGAACGGAGCACCATCGATATCCCCAAAATTTCGTATATTTAGCAACAACAAATTTGATTTCCTGAACAACCCTAACCGCCAACGTGTACATTAGAAACGCATACCATCGTATCCCCAAAAAATAAAGCCGAAACGAGCGATCGGATATCCAATCGTCGCGGCGGACTCGCATGAACGCGGCTCCAAAAACAGCGTTCCCATAGCCCGATTTCGCCATGGGCCACGTTCCCATGATAACACGGAAACCTCTCTGGCAGGCCTCGTTGTAAATTACGAGGCCGGCGTATAACATTTTACTGCGAACGAAACGTGGATCCCGGTGAAAACGAAAAGGGAATGCGTACTCACCGGTTTGACGGGAAAGAAACGTGATCAAGGAGAGCGCGACGCACAGCCATCTTCCCGGATGCTCCCTCATGCTGTCGCCTTGGTCTCCAGAAATTCTCGGTGTCGATTCTCCTCTTCGCCGGCCGCGAACGTGAACGAGCGTGAACGAGAGAGCGTTCCGCGCGCGCCCCGACCTCTTTATCAGTTACTCGGCGCGATCGAAGTAGACCGTGAAACGAGGATCCACATCCACCCACATCACTGTCATGCTGTTCCCCCGGTTTATCGTTGCGACGCGCGCGAACTTCGGCCCGGAACCATAACTAATCGCGAGACTTTGCAATTCAATCGATCGCGGCCGATTCGCGCGCGATTTCGGTCGCCCGCCTCGCGCGGCCGCCTTCTTTCTTTTCTCGGCGAGAGCGGCGCGCGATCGCTCGGCGATCGAGGCTCTTTTTCGACCGTTGTCGAAAACGACACACGGGCCGCGCGCGTCGGGAACACGCTCGAACAATGTCTGCGAGAAGAAGGGGTGCCGTGGACGCGCGACGCGTCGCGGCGCCCGTCGATAAGGATCCCACGATTCTATCCGGAGCTTTTCCCCGGGTGGCCGAGGAGGCGAGGAGGATCCGACGCGGCCGGGGGAATTGTATTATTCATCAGACACGCGGCTCGCTTCGGGCCAGGATTTACAATTGTGCATTATCGATTCGCCGGATCCATTTGTACGGTTTTAACCGGCGCGCCGACCGTAATTCCGATCCCCCCGGAGTTTTAATATCGCCGAGAACCGGGGCCTCTCTCTCACGGGGCCTCGCCGGATTTTACTCCGCGAGACGCGCGGACGCCTCTTTTTACTGTATCCGCCGGCGACGATCGCCGATCCGCCTGCTCATAATTCCTACCGCCGGCCGGATCCTTCGCCGATGCGCCCCGGAAGCTGATCGGCGACCCCCGGAAGTCGATCGGCGACCCGAAAATCACTGCGCGCGCGGATCCTTTCGCCGACGCGGCGCTTCGCGCGACGCGCGATCGTGTTCCTTTCGTCGACGAACGCCGCTTCCGACGAGAATGAAAGGGAGAACAACGCCCGGCACTTTGTCGACGATCCTCGTTGTCTGTCCTGTTCCCTTCGGCGCGGGAAATGAAAAAGAAGAACTATCACTTACACGCGGCCGCGAATTAAAACGAGCGAACGGGACTCTTCCCGGCTGTCCATTTAGATTAAGCTCGGCGGGAAATCGTGCAGTTGTTCGCGTGCATCGCGGATGCTCGATATCACGGGCTATTAAGCGGCCGTCATAGAACACATTAATCGATCGTTAATTCGGCTGTCCGGTCTTCCTGTGTTGCCATCGGCGCGCGGAATTTCGGGGATCCGCGCGGTTCGTCGACCAGCCTTGCTTTTTTTCCTTTCCGCTGTCGCGATCTGCAACAGAAAAGAAACACGGATTTATTGTTAGGCCGGACTCGTCGCGTCGTGATTCTTTTGTGTTTGTTTCGTTTTTTGGTTTGTTTATCAGGTCGGAAGCTGAAATTGTCGCCGATATCGACGGCGCATCGGAAGTTTTCGCCGTCGATTTTAAGGGACGCGTTTGTTACTCGACGCGTCGCGAAAACGCACAGCCTCTCTCTCTCTCTCTCTCTCTCTCTCTCTCTCTCGCTCGGCTCGATTGATTCGTCCAAATGGTTTTTGCTTTCATTGGCTCGTCGTCCCGCGTTTGTCGCCGTTGAAACAGAGATGTCAAAATGCCTGGGACGAGTGGTTTTATCGAGCAGCGGGCGCGAGCGCGCGCGCGCGAGCTGCACAAATGAGCGCGAGAATTGCTGGCTACGTTGGCTGAAGCACTTTGAAAAGGTTCTCGGGGAAGTAGAGTTTAATTGAGAAGCAGCCACCCCCTCATCCGTCGCCTCCTCACCTCCTCCTCCTCCTCCACCCCGGCCCAGACTGAACCTTTCTTTGGAAATTTTATTTTACACGGCGCGAGTAGTACGTATTTCAAAGAAAAAAAGTATATTAGTTGGCACGTTTCGCGTGCTTCGGAAGCATTGAAACGAACGTCGAGTGGAACTGGAAATAGGGAAGATATTGAGAATTTACAGTGGACATTGATTGATGCTTTTGTCTTTCGTTATTGCATTGTTGTAACGGTCTTTGTTGTTCTGATCGTCGCGTCGTCGACTGTTCTTCGGATATTTGTCATTCATAAACTTGTGAACTAAGCAGTTATGTTTATTGTTAATATTGGTTTATAATTGATATGTATAATTATATACTATAACTATATATTATATATATTATAATTGTATATTATATTTATATTATATATTATAATCATATATTATATATATTATA